ATGCCTTCATTTTCATGAAGCTAACACATTTTGTTATACATTTCTTTGTCTGTTTTACTAAGGGGAGAGTTGGCTAAATTTGGATTTTTACCTTGTGATTGATGTAGCTAGACTTTATTGAGATTTAAATGTCTGCTGAATGTCATAATATTCTTATCAGTATTTCTGTGGGTATGTGAGTTTCTTAGATTATTTGTACTGAATTTTGGAATTTCTCTAGTCCAAAAATAATAGAAGAATGTAAAAAATATCAAGCCTGGCTTGTATTTGCCTTATTTAGTTTTGAGTTTTAAAATGAATTTAGGAAGTTTTTAATTGCTCTCTAATTTTGTATTTGTGCCATTTTACTTAGCTTGGGTTATACTCTAAGAAAGAGACCAGAGATGCTTTAATCTTTCTAACACATGTTCACATATACTATCTCAGGTGGTTGCACCTTGATTACATTTTGCTAGTTTTTCACTTTATTTAATAGTATTATACTACTGTTAGACTGTTTTCATTAAACTCTGGTGAGATCATATTGCTCTTACTTTAAATCTGTATCTGAATAACAAAGATAAGAGCAGAACTAAATGAAATTGAAATGACAAAATCATAAAAGCAATCAGTGAAATGAAGAGTTGGTTCTTTGTAAGGATAAACAAAATTGACAGGCTGCTAGCTAGATTAGCCAAGAAGAAAGAGAAAGGATTCAGATAGGCATGATCAGAAGTGATAAAAGTGATTTTACAATTGATACCATGGAAATACAAAAGTTCATCAGAGACTACTATAAACATCTCCGTGTGCACAAACTAGAAAACCTAAAGGAAATGGATAAATTTCTACAAACATATAAGCTCTCAAGATTGAACCAGTAAGAAATGAAAATAATGAATAATGAAATGGAATCGGCCATTAAAAAAAAAAAAAATACCAACCAAAAACAGCCCAAGAACAGACAGATTCACAGTGGAATTTTACCAAGCATGCAAAGCAGCTGGCATCAATCTTACTGAAACTGTTACAAAAAATTGAGGAGGAGGAATCCCTAACTCATTCTATGAAACCAGTATCATCCTGGTACCCAAATCTGGCAAGGACACAACAAAAAAAGAAAACTACTGGTCAGTATCCTTGATGACCACACATGCAAAACTGCAACAAAATACTGGCAAACCAAATCAAAGAGCAAATTAAAAAGATCCATCATGGTCAAGCGGGTTTTATTTTAGGAATGCAAAGATGGTTCAACATATATACATCAGTAAATGTGTTTCACCACATAAGTAGATTAAAAACAGAATCTGTATGCTTATCTCAATATATGAAGAAAAAGCATTTGATAAAATCCAACATCCCATCATGATAACCCTAAGCAAACTAGGCATCAAAGGAACATACCTCAAAATAAGAGCTCTATGTGATAAACCCATAGACAGTATCATACTGAATAGGCAAAAGTTGAAAGCATTTCCCCTGAGAACTGGAGCAAGACAAGGCTATCCACTCCCATCGCTTTTATCATCATAATCCTAGCCAGAGCACACAGGCAAGAGAAAAAAGTAAGTCATCCAAATTATAAAAGATGAAGTAAAATTACTTATTGGTTGATGACATGATCTCATACTTAGAAAACCCTAAAGATTCCTCTGAAACACTTTTAGAATAGATAAACAATTTCAGTAAAGTTTCAGAAAATTAATATACAAAAATTAGTGGCATTTCCATACATCATCAGTGATCAAACAGAACCAAATTCAGAGCTGAAATCCATTTACAATAGACACACATACACACACACACCCCTAAGAATACATTTAACCAAGGAGGTGAAAGACCTCTACAAGGAGAAGTACAAAATACTGATGAAAGAAATTATAAGTGATACAAACAAACTGATAAACATTTCATTCTTATAAGAATATTATTTAAATGACCATACTGCTCAAAGTAATTTACAGATTCAAGGCAGTTCCCACTAAATTACCAACATCAGTTTTTATAGAATTAGTTCCTAACCTAAAATTCATGTGGAACCAAAAAACAGGCTAAATAGCCAAAACAATTCTAAGCAAACAGAACAAAGCCAGAGGCATCACATCACTTGACTTCAAACTATACTACAAAGCTTTAGTAACCAAAACAGCATGGTACTGGTACAAAAATAGACACATTGATCAATGGAACAGAATAGAGAACCAAGAAGTAAAGACACATACATATATCTGACTGAACTTCGACAGAATCAACAAAAATAAACTATGGGGAAAGGGACACCCTATTCAATAAATGGTGCTGGGTAAATTGGCTAGTCATGTGCAGAAGAATGAAACTGGACCCCTGTCTCTCACTGCACCCCAAAATTAACTCAAGATGGATTAAAGACTTAAATGTAAGACCTGAAACTATAACAAATCTGTGAAGAAAACCTAGGAAAAACTCATCTGGACATTGGCTTAGGCAAGAGATTGAGTAAGACCTCATAAGTAAATGCAACAAAAACAAAAATAGACAAATGGGACTTAATTATAACTTCTGCACAGCAGAAGAAACAACAGAGTAAACAGACAACCTACAGAAAATGAGAAAATATTTCTAAACCATGCATCTGAAAAATGACCAGTATTCAGAATTTACAAGGAACTGAACAAGAAAAAACGGTGTTAACTCCATTAAAAGATGGGCAAAGGATATGAACAGACATTTCTCAAAAGAAGACATACAAGCAGCCAACAAACATGAAAAAAAAAGCTCATCACTAATCATTAGAGCGATGCAAATCAAAACCACAGTGACAGTCCATCTCATACCAGTCAGAATGAGTATAAAAAAGTTAAATAACATATTGGTGAGGATGTGCAGAAAAGGGAATGCTTATAACACTGTTGATGGGAATGAAAATTGAAAATTAGTATCACCTTTGTGGAAAACAGTGCAGAGATTTCTCTAAGAACTAAATATAGAATTACCATTTGGTCTAGCAGTCCCACTACTGGACATCTACACAGAGAAAAATAAGTTACATCAAAATGATATCTCCACTTGTATGTTTATCACAATAAACATAAATTATCGAAATAGCAAAGCCATGGAATCAACGTAAGTGTTCATTAGTAGTTGATTAGATAAAGAAAATGTAGTATATATACACCGCAGAATACTGTGTAGCCATAAAAAAGAATGAAACAGACTGGGCCCGGTGGCTCATGCCTGTAATTCCAGCACTTTGGGAGGCTGAGGCAGGCGGATCACTTGAGGCCAAGAGTTCAAGACCAGCATGGCCAATATGGCTAAACCCTGTCCCTACTGAAACTACAAAAATTAACCAGGCATGGTGGTGCACACCTGCAATCCCAGCTACTTGGGAGGCTGAGGCAGAAGAATCACTCAAACCCAGGCAGAGGCTGCAATGGCGGAGACTGCAGTGAGTTGAGATAGTGCCACTGCACTCCAGCCTGTGTGACAGAGCAACACTCTGTCTCAGAAAAAAAAAAAAAAAAAAAAGAAGCTGTATCCTTTGTAGCAACATGGACAGAGCTGGAGGTCATTATTCTAAGTATAATAACTCAGGAACAGGAAATCATATACTGCGTATTCTCATTTGTAAGTGGGAACTAAACAGTGGGAACACATGGACATAGCATGGAAATAATAGACACTGGGGACTTCAGAAGTGGGGAGGATGGATGGGGGTTAAGAGTTGAAAAATTACCTAATGGGTACAGTGTTCACTCTTTGGGTGATGGGTTTCTGGGAGCGCAAACCTCACTATTATGCAATATGTTCATGGAGTAAACTCACACATGTATCTCAGCAATCTAAAATTAAAAAAAAATCTGGCCAGACTCGGTGGCTCATGCCTGTATTCTCAGCACTTTGGGAGGTCGAGGTGGGTGGATTGCCTGAGTTTAGGAGTTCAAGACCAGCCTGGGCAGCATGGTGAAACCCAATCTCTACTAAAATACAGAAGATTAGCTGGGCGTGGCAACATGTGCCTGTAATCCCAACTACTCAGGAGGCAGAAGCGGGAGAATTGCTGGAACCTGGAAGGCAGAGGTTGCAGTGAGCTGAGATCACGCTACTGCACTGTAGCCTGGGCTATGAGAGTGAGACTCTGTCTCAAAAAAAAAAAAAAAAATGTATCCACGTTCAGGGCCCTTTTTCATACTGCTGCTACCTTACCTACGTTCCCGGGCTAAGACCATTTGAGATTACTTACGTTTTTCCTTAATGCTCCCATCTGTTCCTCCTTTAAGGCTGTATTCAGACTTTTATTTTCTCCATTCCCCCTAAGGGTTAACTGTTCAGTGATGAGACCTCATAGCACTTTAAATCACACCCTGATTTTCTGCCTTTCTCCTTCCTGTTAGATCATGAAGACTCTTTTCATCTCTTTGTGCTGTGATACTTAGTGTGTGTAGGTATTAGATAAATGGTTCTTTCCAGTTAGAATCAATTACTCCATTCTTCCTACATCTAACCATTTGCTTCCTCCTACTTTTATTTTAATTTGTGGTATACTACTTTGTATTGATTTTCATACCTGCGCTGAAATAATTTCTAAGACAAGGACTGGACTTTTCTCTTCTCTCTTCTCCCCTCCCCTCCCCTTCCCTCCCTTTCCTTCCCCTCCCCTCCCTTCCCCTCCCCTCCCCTCCCCTCCCGTCCCTTCCCCTCCCCTCCCCTCCCCTTCTCCTTTCTCCTTTCTCCTTTCTTTCTCCTTTTTTCCTTTTCTCCTTTTCTCCTTTCTCCTTTCTCTTCTTCTTTTTTTTTGAGATAGAGTCTCACTCTGCCACTCGGCTGGAGTGCAGTGGTGCGATCTTGGCTCACTGCAACCTCTGCCTTCCGGGTTCAGGCAATTATCTTTCCTCAGCCTCCTGAGTAGCTGGGATTACAGGTGTGCACCACCATACTCAGCTAATTTTTTGTATTTCTAGTAGAAACAGGGTTTCACCATGCTGGCCAGGCTGCGCTCAAACTCCTGACCTCTTGATCTGCTTACCTTGGCCCCAACAAAGTGCTGGGATTACAGGTGTGAACCACCGCGCCCAACCTGGATTTTTCTTTAGTAAAATTCTCATTTTTTGATGCTTATGCCCCTTTACTTCAGGTTTTATCGTATGTCCTGCATCAGTATTAAGCTTCTTTTCAGTTATGTGTATTTAGATTATATTGCTTTAGTTTAAAATAAAGTCTCAAATCTTGGTTTGTGATCCATAAGGTTATTTCATAGTTGGACTTTTCCTTGTTTACATTTGTCCTGTCACGGTGAATTAATAGCCTTTTTAAAAATCTTTTCTACTGAGGCCACTGTAGAGTGTTATTTTCCCCTTTCATTCATCCTCATGAAGTGCTGGGAAGGGTAGGATAGATGGTGTTGATGATCACTACAAAGCGATGCAGAAACCAGTGTACTTGTACCTATTAAAAAGTGACAGCAAATATTACAAATGACTTCTCCTACCCCCTGAGCCATTTAAACATGAACTTCCTACCTGAAGTCCTATGACCCTCAGATACTTTAATGCAGTGATCCCCAAACTTTTTGGCAACAGGGACTGGTTTTGTGGAAGACAGTTTTTCTGTGGACTGGGGTGCAGATGACAATGGTTTCAGGATGAAACTTTTCCACCTCAGATCATCAGGCATTAGATTCTCATAAGGAGTGTGAACTCACATGTGCAGTTCGCAATAGGGTTCGCTCTCCTAAGAGAATCTAATGCTGCTGGTAATATGACAGGAGGCGGAGCTTAGGTGGTAATGCTCCCTTGCCTGCTGCTCACCTCTTGCTGTGCAGTGTGTTCCTAACTGGCTATAGACTGATACTGATCCATGGCCCAGGGGTTGGAGACCCTTGCTTTAATGTATATTTCTTGGAAACAAGAAGATTTTCCTATATAACCACAGAATAACCATTCACGTCATGAAATTAACATGGATACATTACTACCACCAAATTCTTGGACCCCATTCAAGTTTCTCCATCTGACCAATAGTTTGTGTGTATGTGTGTGTGTGTGTGTGTATATATATATTTAGTTGACAAATGATCCTTTATTGAAATATTTTCCTTTGTGCTTCTTAACTAGCTGAGCATTCTCCTGCACCACTGTTTATGTTATGTTATGATCTCATGAGGGTGGTGGACATCAGCATTGCAGCGCATAGATAAGGCAGTCCCCAGGATCTCTTTAATGGTTCCAGAGGGAGTTCTCTGGCTTAAAGATCAGTGCCACATCTTTGAGCAGTGTTGACAATCTCATCAAAAGTGATACTTTCACTTTGTTTAATATTTTCCTGTTTCTTTCTGTTTCCTAGCGATTCCTTGAGGGCTTTGATGATCAGTGCAGAGGGAGAAGGTACCACCTCAATCTGGGCCTGTCTATTCTGAATGGTCAGTTTTCCTGTAATCTCAGACTCTTCCAGTTGCTGGTTGCTTTGGCAGTTTCATCACCCACCTTTTTTGGAGATAGACCCTGGGCACCCATTTTGGGGGCCAGTGCAGATGTAGCATTGATTTACCCTGGTACACCTCAGGTATACAACTTTGATCTCCTTGGGGTGGAACTTCAGCAGCATGGTGGAGGCAGCTGGTGTCGGATTAACCTGGATTCAGTACAATCAAAGAGAGTTGCACCTTGGCTTCCTCTGAGCGAAAAACTGAAGGCAATAATATCTTCTATAGTAAAAAGATCTATGTTAGAATCACATAATAGTTTGGTGTATTATGGACTTTAGTCTCTTCGGTCTCCTGGCCAGTGAGTGCTCCTTCAAACAGGCTTCTATGTTTTTTCTTCTATCATAATTCTTTGAGCACTCCCTTGCTCTTTTATACAAGATGTTTTAGTCTCATTTTGCATTTTTTTCTACCCTAGACCTGGAATGAATGATTTCTTCTAAAGTCCTCGTTCTTTTTATTGGGAAATGTTGTTTTAGAGCCAAATTTTGGGGGCTAGGTATGCTCACTGCTATCGAAAAGTTGCTGCTTACAGGCATCTTCAGTGGTGAGAGCTGGGGAATACACACACACACACATGCACGTACATATCAATATTTATGTCCATATTATATATTTTTAAAACCATGAATTCATACTAATACCTCCAGTTCTATCCTAATACCACAGGATTCAAATCTAGTTTTTTCACTTTCTATATTTGCAACCTCTATCTCTGATGTTGAGAAACCTAACTTCCATTATCCTTAAAATATTTACAGTTACGCATCCCTTAACAGTGGGAATATATTCTGATAAATGTGTTAGGTAATTCCATTGTTGTGCAAGCATCATAGAATGTACTTAAACAAACTCAGATGCTGTAGTCTACTACACCTAGTCTATATGGTATGAGCCTATTGCTTTTAGGATACAAACTTGTATAGCATATTACCTTTCTGAATACTGTAGGCAGTTGTACAATAATAATTTGTGCATCTAAGCATATCTAAATATAGAAAAGGTAAAGCACTGCACTATGATGTTATGACAGTTATGACATCATTATGTCACTAGGCAATAGGAATTTTTCAACTCCATTATAATCTTAAGGGACCAGTTTTATATGCAGTCAGTCATTGACAAAAATGTCTTTATATGGTGTGCGACTGTTCTTACTTGATTAACCTCCTTTGTAACCCACTTCATTTCTGCCACCATATCCTCTTCCAAGTCGAAGTCTCATCCTGTTTGGGGTCTGAAACTTCTACACTATTATGCATGGATTATTTGAAGAAGGATTTATGGAGATGATCTTGGACATCTTAATCTTTTTTTTTTTTTTTTTTTTTTGAGACAAAGTCTTGCTCTGTCGTTCAGGTTGGAGTGCAGTGGCGCGATCTTGGCTCACCGCAACCTCTGCCTTTTGAGTTCAAGTGATTCTCTTGCCTCAGCCTCCCCAGCAGCTGGGATTACAGGCCACGCCACTGCACCCGGCTAATTTTTGTATCTTTAGTAGAGATGGGGTTTCACTATGTTGCCCAGGCTGGTCTTGAACTCCTGACCTCAGATAATCCGCCCACCTTGGCCTCCCAATGTGTTAGGATTACAGGTGTGAACCACAGCGCCGGGCTGGACATCTTAATCTTGATAATATAGATGCAGTATAAATATTCTAGGAGCTTCACATGTATCTGGTTTTTTTTTTTCTTTCTTAATGGAGTCTTGCTCTGTTGCCCATGCTGGAGTGCAGGGCACAATCTCAACCTCAGCTCACTGCAACCTCCGCCTCCTGGGTTCAAGTGATTCTCCTGCCTCAGCCTCCTGTATACTTGGGATTACAGGCACACACTACCATGCCCTTCTAATTTTTGTGTTTTTAGTAGAGATAGGGTTTCACTATGTTGATCAGGCTGGTCTCGAGCTCTGATCTCAAGTGATCCACCTGCCTCAGCTTCCATAAGCGTTGGGATTACAGGCATGAGCCACCACGCCTGGCCAGGCATATATCTGTTTCATTATCAAAATGAACGACATTAAAAAATAATGAAAAATGCTTCTGTGTGTAATAACTTTATGGGATCTGGATCATTTAGTGTGATTAATATGGAAGCTTGGAGTTAGAAGTGTGCAGAGAGCTAAAAGCTTCATTTTTTTCAAACAATAGTTCCACATTTGGTGTAAACTTCTCTGATGTTTAGGGAATGCAAATTAGATTATCTTAATGGTCAGTTTATGTGATAGTGTTTAATTATAATCAGTCATGAAAGTCCACAGCAGCTAGTGTTGGAAGGATTTGTAAGAATCCTGAGATCAGCTCAGTCCTGAAGATTTGAGAAACATCTCTTTCAAAATTATTTCAAAAGGGAAAAGTATTGCTTATTAAGAAAAAAACAGCACATATGATACTATGTTTGTTGCATATTTATAAAGAATTTTCTGTCCTTTAAATGAATCTCATTAAGGGTGCTAGGTATCCAGACCCTTTTTTTTCTTTTTTTGTAATTAGGATCAGACTGAATAAAAATCACGTTTGTAAATATGTTGGTGTATTGGTTTTCTCTCATTGCCGTGACGTATTACCATAGTTTGTAGTTTAAAACAGCATTTATCTTACCATTTTGAAGCTCAAGTCCAAAATGTGTCCTGGGGCAAGCCTGTGTTCCTTTGTATGCTCTAGGAGAGCATCTAGACCACTCTTCTTTCATTCACTTGGCCTTTTACTATTTGGAAAAGCTGTAGTATATTTTATATGCAGAAAAATTAGATGCTATAAGATCAAGGTCATAGAGATCATTTAGTCTTATCCATTTATTTCATAGATAAAGATAACTGAGGCCTAGAAAGTTAAAGTCACATAGTCACTCTAGTCATTGTTTTTACTGCCACCATAGATTTATATTGGGTTTCTCCTTTAAGGTAAAGAAGAACCTGTTTAGCACTGTTCTCTATTTTCTGTCTGTTACCAAATGACTGCCTTTTGGAGAATGGTTCACTTGGACTCTTATTGGATAAACCTTTTTTGAAAACCAGACGTTCAGATTAGCTGCTTCTGCACTTACTTATCTCTATACCAACCTATATATTAGGGTCTCAGAACAAAAGGAGAAAAGGCAGTATATGGAAGGTTTTCTCTATATGTTTCTTTTTGGTTCATTCATTTGTGTTCAGCTGGCTTTTAAAAATTGCTTTCTGTTTGCTACTGCTGGAGGAACGCTGAATGCTTTAGAAAGGGCAGGAGGGATTGTGGAGTGTATGAGGAACTATGAGAAGGCCAGGATAGCCTGAGCACTGACTCAGAGGAAAGAAGTGGCAGGAGAGGAGGCTGTCAGTACAGAGCTTTCACAGAGCTTGAAGGATTTGGATATTTGGCCTAAAAATTGAAGGGAAGCAGTTGGAGAATTTTAAACTCCAAAAAATTTAATTCAGTTTACATTTTTTAAATGCTCTGTATGAAGATTGAATTAGAGGGGAGCTAGACAGGATGCTGGAAGCTAATGTTTAAGTGAGAGATGGTAGTCGCTTATGCTATTTTGGTGGCAAAGTGGAGAATCTGGTGGGGTGAGTAGTTTTGAAAATGGGTTTCGAGGGTACATTGACCAAATTCCATTACTGATTGACTGTAGGGGTGAAAAACATCACCTCACTACCTTTAGAAATTATAACTGGTGTTTCTGCTTTAATTCATTTTGCCAAATTATTTTATCACCAGTTTGACTTGTTACTTTTCTTGTGGCTTTCCCATTCCTTCTTATGTCATATCTAAACTTTGGCTTTCTTCTTTTCATAATCTGTTCTCACTTTTTTCTTTCAGTCTGTCTAGTCACTTTTAATCTCCAGTTACTATAACATGTTCCTGAATGTATAGTCGATGTTTTGTTATCTGTCTTATCTCTCCTGTAAGTTTCTGGCACTAAGTAAGGGCTCAATAATTAAGTGTTGAAATGGGTGTCATGATGACGTGTGATAAATACTGCCTTTTCATAAAAATAAATGGAAGCATTTTAATTAAAGGTACTGGCACTTGGTGGCCATGGCAGCAACAGCAGACATTGGGGATCCGGGCTGCCGGGAGCAGTTCCACTGGGTTTCACCCTCAGAGATGTCCTTCAGGGCACACCAGCAAACCAAGATGGAGTATGAGTGGAAACCTGACAAGCACGGGCTTCAGCAAATCCTGAACTTTTGAAGGAGTTCCAGTCCGTAGACACCACCATCCAGAGAACTGTGCACCAAAAACTGGAACAGTTTAATCAATATCCAGACTTTAACAACTACTTGATTTTTATTCTTATAAAATTAAAATCTGAGGATGAACCCACAAGATCATTGAGTGGTCTCATCTTGAAGAATAGTGTGAAACAGGCTTTATTAAAAGGGAATGTTTAGATAATATTGGTGACTCCTCTCCTCTGATTAGAGCCACTGTTGGTATTTTGATCACAACTATAGTCTCCAAGGGAGAATTGCAGAATTGGCCTGACCTCTTACCAAAACTGTAGCCTGTTGGATTCTGAAGATTATAACACGTGTCAGGGAACATTTGACACCCTTCAGAAGATTTGTGAAGATTCTGCTGAGATTTTAAATAGTGATGTTTTAGATCATCCTCTCAACATTAGATTCCCAAATTTTTACAGTTCTTCAAGCACAGTAGTCCAAAAATAAGGTCTCATGCTGTTGCATGTGTCAATCTGTAACCGGGGGACAAGAGCAGGGCTGCGGGGGCATTCCAATGACGCTCACTGTTCCCCAATCGAATGTGTTTTTTTCCAGCTATTTGGGCTCTTACTCATCCAATAATGGGGAGGAGACCCAGGTGGCCACAGACATACTGTTCAAGTAAATACCAGACCCAAAGAGCTTTACAGAAAAGTGATTTATTAGGCAGAGAGAGAGAAAGAGAGAGAGAGAGCTCCCACGCTGTCATGGGAGGGTATCCAGAGATGGAGTCCGCACAAATAGAGAGAGAGGGCTCCCACATTGCTGTGGGAGGGGATCCCAGAGAGTGAAATCCATATAGGTAAGGGAGTAGGAGGAATTTAACCCCAGAGTTACTCTGGCCCCATTCAAGTTCTTGTCCAGTGAAAGGAGTTTTTTCCGAACTTCCTCTGGAGTGATTGTTCTTCAACTCTGATGCTGGATTGGCTGCCTGGCTCACAGTAGAGCCCCTCCTTCCAAGGCTTTTGGCGGGCTTTCTAAACAAAGGAAGCTTACTTGGGCTTTCTACCTAACCCATACTGGCGAAAGTTAGACAAAGAACTCCAGTTCCCAGATGGGAATGAAAGCAGGTTGGGCGTGTTACTGGGAAGTTCTTGCCTTTGAAACCACGCCCATTGTGGACTTGGGAAGAGAAGTTAGCATAGTCCCTCAAATCAGTCTGTCCTCAGTAGGATGTTGCACATTGATTCTTTTACTGAATTTCACACGGAATCTTTTACTGAGACTCTGTTTGCATTGGCTGCTGATGAAGAACCAGAGGTATGGAAAAATGTGTGCCTAGCACTTATGATGTTGCTCAAAGTTCAAATGGATTGTCTGCTTCCTCACATGCATAGTATAGTTGAGTACATCCTACAGAGGACTCAAGATCAAGATGAAAATGTGGCTTTAGAAGCCTGTGAATTTTGGCTAACTTTAGCTGAACAGCCATTATGCAAAAATGTACTTGTAAGGTATCTTCCTAAGTTGATTCCTGTGTTAGTGAATGGCATGAAGTATTCAGATATAGATACTGTCCTACTTAAAGTTGATGTTGAAGAAGACAAGATGATTCCTGATAGTGAACAGCATATATGGCCACATTTTCACCAATCAAGGACAGTGGCTGAGCAGTGTGATGAAGATGGAATTGAAGATGAAGACAACGTTGATGATGATGATACAATTTCTGACTGGAATCTAAGCAAATGTTCTCGCAAATGTGTATCATGATGAACTACTGCCACATATTTTGCCCCTTTTGAAATAATTATTTTTTCATCATGAATGAGTTGTTAAAGAATCAGGCATCTTGGTTTTAGGAGTCATTGCTGAAGGTTGCATGCGGGCGTGATTCCATACTTGCCTGAGCTTATTCCTTACCTTATTCAGTGCCTCTTTGATAGGAAGGCTCTTGTGTGTTCCATAACATGCTATACTCTTAGCCACTATGCACACTGGGTAGTCAGCCAGCCACCAGACATGTACCTGAAGCCATTAATGACAGAATTGCTAAAGTGCACCCTGATAGCAGCAAGAGAGCACAAGAAGCTGCCTGCAGTGCCTTTGCTACACTAGGAAGCTTGTACAGAACTTGTTTCTTACATTGCTTATATACTTGATACCCTGGTCTTTGCATTCAGTAAATACCAGTATAAGAACCTGCTCATTCATTACAATGCCATAGGAATATTAGTAGATTCAGTAGGATATCATTCACACAAATCAGAATATATTCAGATGCTAATGCCTCCACTGATCAAGACATGGAACATGTTAAAGGATGAAGATAAAGATCTCTTCCCTTTACTTGAGCGCCTATCTTTAGTTGCCACAACACTGCAGTCTGGCTTCCTTCTGTACTGTGAACCTGTGTATCAGTGTTGTATAAACCTAGTACAGAAGACACTGGCACAAGCCATGCTAAACAGTGCTCAACCAGATCAATCTGAAGCTCCAGATAAATACTTTATGATAGTGGCTCTTGATTTACTGAATGGCCTGGCTGAAGGACTTGGAGGCAACATTGAACAGCTGGTAGCCCGAAGTAACATCCTAACACTAATGTATCCTAACACTAGTACATGCAGGATAAAATGCCAGAAGTTCAACAGAGTTCTTTTGCCCTATTAGGTGACCTCACAAAAGCTTGCTTTCAGCATGTTAAGCCTTGTATAGCTGATTTCATGCCAATGTTGGGAACCAACCTAAATCCAGAATTCATTTCAGTCTGCAACAATGCCACAGGGGCAGTTGGAGAAAGTTCCATTCAAATCGGTGTAGAGATGCAGCCTTATATTCTATGGTGTTGCACCAGCTTGTAGAAATCATTAACAGACCCACTACACCAAAGTTGTTAGAGAATACAGCAATAACAACTGGTCATCTTGGTTACTTTTATCCTCAAGAGGTGACCCCAATGCTACAGCAGTTTATAAGACCCTGGTGCACCTCTCTGAGAAACATGAGACAATGAGGAAAAGGATTCAGCCTTCCATGGAATTCGTACCATGATCAGTGTGAATCTCAGTGGTGTAATCCAAGATTTTACATTTTTTGTGATGCTGTTGCATCATAGATTAACCTAAAAGATGACCTCAGAGACATGTTCTGTAAGATCTTTCATGGATTTAAAAATCAAGTTGGTGATGAAAATTGGAGGTGTTTATCTGACAGTATCCTCTTCCCTTAAAAGAGCATCTTGCAGCTCTTTATGGTGTTTAATCTAATAGATTTAAGCTGCAGTCCCAAAATTAGGGGTCCTTCAGTCTTGGAGACTATGGGGGAGCCTCTGTAGCCAGGGAAAATGTTAACGGTGGTGGGGGTGGGTAAACCAGTAGGGAATATAATACGTAAAATCACAACTCTGCTGGAAGGGGTGGGAGGGAGGTTTTGCTGTCAAGTCTTTGTTGGGATACGTTTTAACATCTGGAGCTTTTGTGGGTGGAAATATGTCTCCAGTTACAGCTCCACACTGGATTTGAAGAAGCAAAAAAAAAAAAAAAGAAAAAGTCTATTCAGTCTACTCACAAAACAGTACATTGTGGAATATTATGCGGAATTGTACCAAAGCAAGAACCATCTAAATGATGCATAGGGACAAGAAAGAAGAACATTTCTATAGCGTACAATAAAGGAAACCTAAGAATGGGAGTTACAAATAGTAAGGAAGCTTTTTTTTTAATTTAAAATTTTTTTTATATAAGTTTTTCCACACGATAGGGCCTTGTTTTGCGTGTTGATGAAGAACTATACAAACAAAGCTAATATAGTTAAAATCAGCTTGCCTTCCCATAGGAGTAGCAGGTTCCTGGAAGTTGCAATTTAAGGTACCCCAAAAAGCTAGAAATAAAACAAGCATAAGCAATGAAGCACCCTGTGAAATGCCAGATGAGTCACTCCTTTTACCTTTTTTGGGGTGGGGAGGGAGGGAGGAATAAATGGGGTAGGACATATCAAACTAAAGATGACATCTTAATTTTGCTTTGAACATTAATGTAGCATGTATAAATTTGATGGTTGTACTTCATCAGATTTAATTTCTAGGCCAAGATGCTATTTTTTAAAGTACAGTTTAAGGTTCAGGCATGCATTCTGGCTCACAGTGGTTGAAAGTAATTTAAATTAGTGGGAAAGTAGCATGGTTGCATCACATAGAGAGATTGATATTCATTTACCTATGTTGTGCCAGTTTGTGTTGCAGTTTACCAATTCAATACAGCCTTGCATTTAAAGTTCCTTTTTAAGATTTGTGGATTTTATTTTTATTAAGAATATAGATATATAAAGTAACTACAGTTTACAGCTAGGCCTTGAAATATCTTCTTTAGGATCTATTAGGAATAAGATTGATACTGTATTGTGTGTAACCTGCACAGTGTGGAAAGCTGATATACCTGTGCAAAATCTTTGCCTCTGTGCTGTCAATGTGATGTGCTTTTTGCATGGTTATATGCGACTAGTGATTTTATCAAAACTTCTAAAATTTAAATTACAAGGTAAAAGATCTGTAAAAGGTTGCATAAATGTTAGTTGGCACATAAAGACAATTGTAGAAGTTGAAAAATGATTGCTGTATTTCAGTGTTTATTCCCACTCAACATACTGCCTCCTAAGCTTCCTTTTTTTTTTTTTTTTTTTTGTTCAAAGCATGGTCTTAAAGATATGTTTAAGTTAACGGATGTAATTCCTACACTGTATTTTGTGCATGTTGTGGCCCTCTGTGCCCTAGATATATGCACACAGGGTGCAAATTAAAAGCTGCAGAGTGAAAGTTGGTTTGGATCCTCTTCATTTTATTTGTTTAGCTTTTCTGTTATTTTTCTCTACTTACATATATTTCTGTGAATAAATCCTTGTTAAATTAACCTTAAAAAAAGTTAAAGGTACTGTTTAGTATTTTTCACTTAGCTTTCTATACACATTATGACATAACCTGTTTACAAAATAAGTTTCTAAGGTATCACATGTCATAATAGCAAGCTACAAGTAACTAAAACGATGATGCTAGCATAGATGTGGTAGTGGAGGGACAGCTTACAGAAAGTTGACATGGTCCTAATATAGGTAAATAGAATCTCAAACTGATAATTGATACTTTCAGGTATGCTTTGATATTGAATGACAAAATTTGAAAGAATAGAAGGAAGCTATTCCAACTCCAGTAGTGAATCTTTCATGTCCATTTAATTATCAGTATAGATCCTTTTTTGTCCTATTAATAGAACTTTTATGTTTTAAGAAAAGTTTAAATGTATGAAATGAAGTTGTTGTGATTCTTTAAACAGACATATTTTTCTTTATTCAGAATTAATGTTTCTTATAGATTAAGTATATTACAATATGAAGTTCAGTTCAGTAATTCTTGAGCTTCTATTTTCCAGATATATTTATTCTTAATTTCTTAGGTCAATGAGGTGGATAAGAGTGTCCTTGTCACTAATTAGCTCAAAATCTTGTTTGATAGGCCGATAAATTATAAACACATGATTATAGTATGAATTTATAAATTATTAATATGCATGTGGTCTTGAAATAACATAAAATGAAAGCTGTGTCTGTGTCAAGGGAGTCATTCAGAAACTTTTGAAGAGGAAGTTAACATCTGAGTTGGGTGTTGAAGAATGAATGCAAGTTTTATCAATTGACCAAGGAAATTAGAGGATAAACATTTTAGCATAGGGAAAAGCATGTACAGCATGAGTGTATCACAAAACCATGATGTGTGAGAGAGGAATATCAGCATTGCTAAGAATATAGCGTGTGGGGTAGAGGGCAGTTAGAAATGACCCCAGGGAAATAAGATGGTGGAAAGGAAGAAAAATTCAGTATCTCAAACTAAAAGGACAAATGATATTTATAAATCAGATTTTTAAAATAAGAAAGATATAACATTAAATATTATCAATATTTCTGTTATCAGCTCTTCATACACACTTCCTATCTATGTATGAGACCATAGAGTATTTTATTCTGAACACTTTTTCTCATAAAAATGAAATTACTGGATTATCTAAACTCCTTCTTGATCAAAGCCTGTGCTGCAGAGAAAAAGTCAGTGAACTTAAAATTAATTTATTCATAAACAGAGAGCAGGCTGAGTGCAGTGGATCATACCTGTAATTCCAGCACTTTGTGAGGCTGAGGTGGTACGATTGCTTGAGCCCAGGAATTTGAAACCAGCCTGAGCAATGTGGCAAGACCCCATCTGTACAAAGCACTAAAAAATTAGCCAAGAATGGTGGCATATGCTTGTGGTTCCAGCTACTTGGGAGGCTGAGATGGGATCATCACCTGAGTCCAGGAGGTTGAGGCTGCAATGAGCCATGATTGCGCCACCGCCCTCTAGCGTGGGTGACAGAGCAAGACCCTGTCTTAAAAAAAAAAAAAAAAAAAGAACACAGTGTAATATATTCTTTTTACCTAGCATAGTACCTGGCATAGAGTAGATGTATAATGAGCAATATTTTTGGAGAAAATATTGAATTCTGTGATTTGGATCAAGTAGCTATTATAAAATTGTTATAGTTAATGAGGACACTGAAGCTAAGAGTCTTTCACTGATTGAATGAACTTTAGGAGTTGTTGAAGTTGCTCTTCTAGCCTGAATAAATAATTAAATATTTTTCAATTTAGGCTATTCTGTTTTATTGTCCTGTGGTGATTGAAAGTATTGCCTTCAGGCTCTTCAACTTCTAGTAGCATTTAGGTGGTACTTCCATAATCTTTGATGCCTTTTCTGTCTTGGGAGTCCGGCAACCTGTATTAGTAGAAGCTGCCAGCTTGGTAGCTTCAGTTGAGTTGCATGTAGACACAGATGGGAAAGTTGGTCTGTTGAACCTCTTTTTACCTTTTAGTACATGGGTGAAGGAGAAAGTAGTGTAAGAACATTAGACCAACCATTGGGAAACCCAGATTTCAACTGTGGCTGTATAATTAGTGTCTCACATGACATAACGTATAGAGTTCTTCGGCCATGAGAGGTTGCATCAACTGATTGGAGCCTTTTCCCAGCTCTGAAATTCTAATTTCTTTCCCTTTCCCCTGGGACTTTATTTACTCTTTCCTTGTTTTTTCTTCCTTGCTGGATGAGCTGGGGACATTGTTTTGAAAATACATTCCCTCTGCATGAAATTTTTTTTTTTTTTAGTTTAAGTTCTGGAATACATGTGCAGAATGTGCAGGTTTGCTACAGAGGTATACATTTGCCATGGTGGTTTGCTGCACCTATCCACCTGTCATCTAGGTTTAAGCCTCACATGCATTAGATATTTGTCTTAATGCTCTCCCTCCCCTTGACCCACCCCACAATAGGCCCCAGTGTGTGATATTCTACTCCCTTTGTCCATTTGTTCTCATTGTTGAGCTCCCACTTATGAGTGAGACATGCAGCGTTTGGTTTTCTGTTCTTGTGTTAGGTTGCTGAGAATGATGGCTTCTAGCTTCATCCATGTCCCTGCAAAGGACATGAACTCATTTTTTTTTTTTTTTATGGCTGCATCGCATTCCATGGTATATATGTGGCACGTTTTCTTTATCCAGTCTGTCACTGATGGGCATTTGGGTTGGTTCCAGTTGCTGCTGTTTTGAACAGTGCCTCAATAAAAATGTGTGCATGTGCCTTTATAGTAGAATTATTTATAATCCTTTGGGTATATACCCAGTAATGGGATTGCTGGATCAAATGGTATTTCTGGTTCTAGATCCTTGAGGAATTGTCACACCATCTTCCACAATGATTTAACTAATTTATAGCCCCACCAGCAGTGTAGAAGCATTCCTATTTCTCCACATATTCTCCAGCATCTCTTGTTTTCTGAGCTTTTAATAATCACCATTCTAACTGGTGGGAGATGGTATCTCGTTGTGGTTTTGATTTGCATTTTTCTAATAACCAGTGATGATGAGCTTTTTTTCATATGTTTGTTGGCTGCATAAATGTCTCCTTTTGAGAAGTGTCTGTTTGGTGGGGTTGTTTTTTTCTTGTAAATTTGTTTAAATTTCTTGTAGATTCTGGATATTAGCACTTTGTCAGATAGATAGATTGCAAAAATCGTCACCCATTCTGTAGGTTGCCTATTCACTCTGATGATAAGTTCTTTTGCTGTGCAGAAGCTCTTTAGTTTAATTAGGTCTCCTTTGTCAGTTTTGGCTTTTGTTGTGATTGCTTTTGGTGTTTTCAGTGATGAAGTCTTTGCCCATGCCTATGTCCTGAATGGTATTGCCTAGGTTTTCTTCTAGAGTTTTCATGGTTTTAAGTATTACGTTTACGTATTTAATCCATCTCGAGTTAATTTTTTATAAGGTGTAAGGAAGGGACCCAGTTTCAGTTTTCTGCATATGGCTAGCCAGTTTTCCTAGCACCATTTATTAAATAGGGAATCCTTTCCCCGTTGCTTGTTTTTGTCAGGTTTGTCGAAGATCAGGTGGTTACAGATGTATGGTGTTATTTTTGAGGACCCTGTTCTGTTCCATTGCTTTATATATCTGTTTTGGTACCAGTGCCATGCTGTTTTGATTACTATAGCCTTATAGTATAGTTTGAAGTCAGGTAGCATGATGCCTCCAGCTTTGTTCATTTTGCTTAGGAGTGTCTTCATTATAGGAGCTCTTTTTTGGTTCCATATGAAATTTAAAGTATTTTTTTTCTAATTTTGAGAAGAAAGTCAATGATGGCTTGATGGGAATAGCATTGAATCTATAAATTACTTTGGGCAGTATGGCCATTTTCACAATATTGATTGCAACAAGGGAAGTGAAGGACCTCTTCAAGGAGAACTGCAAACCCACTGCTTAAGGAAATAAGAAAATTTTAAATTTCGTAAATTATACCTATTCATTTTTGAGATTTCCTTTATTACTGCTTAATAGACTTTCTGGTTAACCTGAAGATGACACATAAGAAAAATTTTCTGCTTACAAGGTGGGGTATATGATACAGCTTGATTTTTAAAAAAGCTTTTTATTTTGAACTAATTTCAAAAAATACAGAGAATTTCTATATACCTTTCACTCATTTCCTAATGTTAATATGTTATATGTCTATACTATGATGATCAAAACTAGGAAATTAAGCTTGATATAATACTAACTAATCTGCAGGCTTTGAGTTTTACCAGTTTTCCCACTAGTGTCTTTTTTGGTCTGGTTCAGAATCTTATCCAGGATCCCACACTGCATTTTTTTTGCTGTCTCCTTATTTTTTCCAATCTACAATAGTTCTTAGTCTTTCTTGTTCTTTATAATCCTGATATTTTTAATGAGTACTGACCCATTGTTTTATTGAAGAATATTTAACATAGTTTTGTATGAATGTTTTCTCATTGTGATTTGTGTTTTTGGCCATAATGCCATAATGCCATGGATATGATTTGCTCTTCTCAGTTCATCATATTAGAAAATACATGATTTCAGTTTGTGTTACTAGAGATGATGTTAACTTTGTTCACTGGATTAAGATTGTGTCTTTCAATACAAAGTGGTGATATCTTCCTATGCAAAGTTACTGGGTTTTTTTTTTCCTTTATAATTAATATCTTGTGGGCAGATACTTTGAGACTATTTGAACATCCCATTTCTTAGAGTTTTGCCCATGAATTTTAGCTTTTCTTGATTCTTTATTAGTTGGAATTCTATAAGGAGGAGCTGTCTACATTTTCTCACTCTCTTGTTCATTTATCTAAAATGCTTTATATTAGTATGGGCTTGTGGGTTTTTTTTTTTTTAATTCTATGTATATACATTATTATAACTACTTAACTTTGTTGCTAAAATCATTCTAAATTTGGCTTTTAGGAGTACCTTCAGGTTGGTTCTTGTGTCTTTCTGGAATGCCACATTATTTTCTGAGAACTTCTCTATTTTCTGGCACCACAAAATATTCCAGGCTTGTCTTGTATTTTCTCTCCCCTAGCCCTTGAGTCATCATGTCTCCAAGGAAGATTTTCATTGGAGAATGAGATTGAGAAACCAAGATCTGGGGGCTGGGTGTGCTTCTTGCTACTGAGGTGTAATTGCTTTTAATTACTGTGGCAGACAGAGCTGACAATTATATGTATACACCCACACTTCTATATTTATTTTTGTACCCATTTCCATATATATTAAAGATCCAGAGTTCATACTGATACCTTTGACCCCAATACAATACCACAGAATTTTTCCTAGCCTTTCTTCTTATTTTTAATCCTTTTCTCAGAAAGTGAGAAACTTGGTTTCTCATTAACCACAATATTAACCACAATACTTACTCAACACTTTATGTGTGTATGGGTACATATAATGATTATAGCATATATTTATACATAGTTATAGATACGTATTTGGGTTATAGTATTTGGTTATAGTATATAATATAGTATACATAAAAAATCTTATTTATACTATATTATATTATTTAAATATTTATAGTATATAGTATATACTATAATATACTATATAATATAGTATAAATAATTATATAATGTATAATTATGTAAGTATATGTATTATAGTATATACTATATAATATAGTATAAATAAAAATATAATATAAACATAGTATTTTATAATTTATAAGTTATATATTTTATCTTTTTATTTACTTTATAAATTATATATAATTTATATATAATTTATATAAAATTTTCTAAAAATATATAAAATATATATTATATTATATCTAATTTTTAAAGCATATTATAAATGTTATATTATAATATAAATATATAATATAGTATAAATAAAAATATATAAATAATACTTAAATATTATAAATAATATTTTAATATTAAAATAATATTTTTATTTTATTATTATATAAATAATAAAATAAAAATATTTTAAATGTTAGTATTTATAAATATTAAATATTTATATTATAATAAAGTAATATAAATATTTTTTATTTTAATAATTTTTATTATAGTATTTTATACTATAGTACATATACTATATAATAAATATACATATCTTTTTTTAACTTTAACTCTACAGTATACAATAAATACTGTTTTCTATGTTTGCCTATGTTCTTTTAGTTCTCAATCCTTGCAGTTTAATTTTATTATTCATTTGTAATTCTTTTAGGTTTATTTGTTGCTGTTTGTATTTGGTTTTGGGTTCTGCCCACATCATGGTTTATTCAAAGTATTCGTTTATTTCATATTACTTCATAGAGATTTTTTCTTCTTTTTTAAAACTTCCATTTTATTTTTAATCTATGTATGTATTTGGTTGTTTGTTTATTTTGAGACCAGGTTATGAGACTGGGTAATTTTTGTATTTTTTGTTAGAGATGGGTTTTCACCATATTGCCAAGGGTTGTCTTGAACTCCTGGGCCCAAGCGATCCACCCGTCTTTGCCCTCCACAGTGCTGGGATTACAGGCTTGAGCCACTGCACCTGGTTGACGTCTTTCTTATTCTTTTTTTTAACCACTATATGTTACTTATTTTGTAGATTGTACATTGTTTATTCATTTATTCTCCCAACAGTGGGCAATCAAGAATGTTTCCAATATTTTACAGTTATAAACTGCAACAAAGCCTATGCTAGTATAGTGCATTATTATTTTTGTAATTTAGATAAATACATCTAGCACTTTACTAGTATCCATACCAGCTCCTATTCAGTTGTTTAGAAACTTCTGCATATAAAAGTGCTAGTCGGTATTACTATATGTTGTTATTCTTGATATTCTATTTTCCTAGAACATTCCAGTCACCTTCTACTCTTATCCAAAACTTAACTGGTAAATCTTAAGTGCATTGATTAATAAGTCTCTGGTATTACCATAATCTCATAAAATCATCCTATGATATTTTTATTACCGCCTCTCCCAAAGTATAATGTCCTTAAGATATGAAATTCTGCAGTAAACAGAACAAAAAAGAAAAGCTTTTAAAAAAACTTCACTTGACATAATATGCAAAAGTGTGATGGGGCTGTGCACAGGTTACATGGGCACTCAGGGATGCACTGTAACTTGACTGGTTTGAGGACAGAAAACTGAATCTAAAATAAGGAAATTCTGACTGCTAAAGGAGTTGAGGCCACTCAGTACATTCATTTTCTCTCATCTAACAAAAGGACTACACATACCACTAATGCACTTGGCATTTTGATTTATTAAATGTGTATGTTAACTGAAATCTGCCACCCACCGTTATAATCAGTATGGCTAAAATTACTCATCTGAAAACTGCGAAGGCTAAAGTAAATTTTAAAAAGCTTAGGTAAAATCCAGTCAAGCAAAACCTAGTTTGAGCTTATTGCTGAGGTCTGCAACATATTAAATAACTGCAACCATTAGAAGTCACACCAGCCACACCTGACTCTTCTTTTTCAAGTGCTAATGTGCTTCTGTAGTGGCCTATTGCTCTTTTGGCCTTCTGTGAGGCATCACAGAAAGGAAGGAACAAATATTTAAATTATAGAAAGTAAATGCAGTAGGAATAGCATTGACTCTAAAACAGTAGAAACAAGTCTAATGATAGCATTTGAGAAACAAGATGTATTAGTTTTCTCTGGCTGCTGTAACAAATTACCACAAATATAGTGGCTTAAAACAGCACACTGCTTGTTATCTTACTGTCCTGTAGGTTACAAGTCAGATAGAGGTCTCTGCAGGCTAACATCAAGATGTCATCAGGGCTATCTGCCTTTCTGGAGAGTCTAAGGAAGAATCCATTTTACTATCTTTTCCAACTTGTAAAAACTGCCCTTGGCTCATGACTTCCTTCCTCTATATTCAAAGCCAGCAACACTGCACCTCTTTGACCTTTCTCCTTCTGACTCTCTTCTACCTCCCTCTTCCATTCTGAGTGATTATTATATATTGGTCCCCCTCAGATAATCCAGGGTAATGCTCCTATTTTAAGGTCAGCTGACTGGCAATCATAATTCCTTCTTTGCCATGTAAGCTGTCATATTCACAGGGATTATTCTGATTATCAGGAAAATTATTTCATTTCTCTGGAACTCCTGTTTTTATCATAGTAGAATTCTTAAAATATTTTATGAGAAGCCATAATTTCAGCATGGAGACCCCAAAATGAAACAATATTCGTGTGTGACTTTTGAAAGGAGCTACGTACGTCCCTACTGATTTCTTCCTCTTTCTCAGATTTTGAATTTATACACTGTTTATTTTTTAATAAAATAAGGTAGGGTGTTAAGGTAGATTTGTTCCAGGGAAGGCTAGAGAAAAGTCTAAGATCATTTCTTGAGAGCAGAAGAGAAATTTGTAAAGAATTGAGTCATAGCTGAATTCTACCCTTTCTGGTTAATAATTCAGAAGGAATACAATGATGAACAGACTTCTTTTTTTAAGTAAAGATTTTGTTTCTTAGGGTATTCTTTGTAAAGAATTTGTGTAGACATATTCACAGAGCCCTGTTGTGTTTTCTTAGTCAGGGATCCAGATATATTTTAAGGAAGTTTCTTCTGTATAGTGCCTGTATTCTGGTGATGTTTTTTAAGCTTGTTTAAAGTTGGTCACTGTTACCACATCTAGCCATTTGAGTTTTACAGAGAGTCAGAGTCATGGCCTCAGCCTATTTTCCAGAAAGATTTTTTAAATTTAATTTTTATATATTTTGGGAATACAGATGCAGATTCTTTTACATGTGTGTAGTGGTGAAATCTAGCTAGGCTTTTAGCATACCCATCACTTAAATAGTGATCATTGCACCTACTGGTAAATTTTTAGCCCTTACCTCCTTCCCATCCTCCCATCTTTTGTAGTCTCCAGTGTCTGTTATTCCACTCTGTATGTCCTTGTGTACCCATTGTTTAGCTCCCACTTACAAGTGAGAGCATGTGGTATGGGACTTTCTGTTTCTGAGTGTTATTTCACTTCTAATAATAGCTTCTAGTTCCGTGTTGCTGCAAAACACATGATTTCATTCTTTCTTTCTGGCTGAGTAGTATTCCATGGTGTATGTGTATTTCCCACACTTCCAGAAAGAGTTTTCTATCAATACTATACCTGAAATCTCTCGGGGTAGGAATTTTTGGGTGTCACAGTGAGAGTGGGAGAAAGGCACACTGGATTAGAACTCACTGGGGATGGGTGTTAGTCTGGATTTATTTATTTTCACTAAATATGTTTTGGGTACCTACCAGGTAGTAATTGTAAATAAGATAATGGCATTTTTAAACCCTTCCTAAATGGGGAATTTGCTCCAGTCGTGTTTTAAATCTAGAAAATGTTTATATTTAATTATAGTCCCTTCATTGTTTCTGTGCCTCTTTTCTAGAACCTCTAAAAGTTGGCTGTTATATGTCTGTTGAGCCTCTTTTTATTTTCTCTTTGTTTTTCTTTATTTTTTAAACCTTTGTCCTTTTACCTTTTTTAGCTCTTTTTTTGACATTTCATAGAGTTTATTTTTAAACGAGGCAATCACTTAACTATGTAGATTTTAAATATATTCATTTGTTATTTGCTATGTGTTTTTTTTTCTTTTTTCTTTTTTGTAATCATCTTACTGGTCATTAAGTGGTATTATATTGTGATTTTGATTCGCTTATTCTCAAATGAGGTTGAACTTCTTTGTGTGTTTATTGTCTATTTGTATTTATCTTTAGAGAAATGTTTTCATTTCAAGTCCTTTTCCCATTTAACTAGCTGTTTGTGTTTTTGTTGTTGAGTTGTAAGAGTTATTTATATTTTCTTGATACTAGACTCTTATGAAATTTGTGATTTGCAAATATTTTCTCCCATTCTGCAGGCTTCTTGATAATGTCCTTTGCTATAAAATAGTTGTTAATTTTTATGAACTCCAATTTATCTAGTTTTGTTGTTGCCGTTGCTTATGCTCTTAATGTCATATCAAAGAATTCATTGCCAGATCCAAAGTCAAAGTCACGAAAATTTATCCCTATGTTTTTGTTTTGTTTTAAAAAGAAATGGTTTTGCTATGTTGCCCAGGCTGGTCTTGAACTTCTAGACTAAAGCAATCTGCCCACCTTAGCCTCCCAAAGTGCTAGGAATACAGACATGAGCCACTGCCCCCAGCCTCTTTTTTTTTTTTTTTCCTGAGAGTTTTATGGTTTTAGTTCTTACATTTAGGCCATTGATGTATTTTGTGTTTTTGTGTATGGTGTGAGGTACTGATCTGACTTCATTCTTTTGCCATTGGTTGACAGTTTATCCTTTCACCACTTTAAAAATGCTATCTGAGTGAGACCGGGCCCAGACCTGTAATCTCAGGACTTTAGGAGGCCAAGGCGGGTAGATCACCTGAGGTCAGGAGTTTAAGACCAACATGGCAAATCCCCATCTCTACTAAAAATACAAAATTTAGTTGGGCATGGTGGTGGGT